TAAGATAATGTCTTCCAAGTCCTTCGATCCCGATCGCCGTGCGTGTGGCAAGTCACCCGCCACCCGTCATGACCAATGAAATAGTAAAATATCATGTATGGCTAATTAAATCTCCAAAAAGGTCAAAAACTTTTGTGCTGCATTTTTTCCGAAGAAATCAGATCTGCAAGAAATAATGGCATCATGTCGATCCGAAATGACGCGATCGTTGCGAAATGTAGAAAATGCGAAGACTGATTTGCGCATGTTTAACACCCACGTTTGCCGCCTTCCAACGGGAAAAGGTTTATTTTTATATTCTCATCAAAAACGTAGAATACGGAAGATTCCTCGCAATAGATTTCGTTGGTTCAATGCATAAAATTCTTCTCGTTACTTTTTCACCAAAGCATTCGGGGAAGCCGATAGTTGATCAAAGTGTTTATTATTTGCCCAAGAAGTATTACAGCTGTTCTATAGATGAGGTGTGAAAATATATTTCAGCGATTCTTTTAGCTATTTGAATACTTTGCACAATCTGTTGAATCATTTCTGGAAAACAAAGGCGTAATCCAATACAAATGGAATGCGAGCTTTTCCTTTCCCTATGCTCTGGTTCAGGACAGTTTAAAGCATGCATACGTTCACTCGTGGTCAAAGAATTTCAGCGTTCGGCAAATGTTAGGTGCCGATATTTATTCAAATTTCCAAAAAGCACTGAACAAAACGGTAAGTAAAGATTAAATCTCTCATATTTAGCCAGTCCGCAAAAGTTAAACTGCATGCAGTTTTGAATGACTGTGTGCAACTCCTTGCAGCTTCATGTGTAGGTGACTCGGAGTGCGCAATGGCAATGGTTCTCGGTAAGTTCAAAGTAATAATCTGATGAAACTTGAAAAGCGTTCACATTACTAAAATATATGCGCATAATCCAAGTAAATTGAAACTTGGAAATTCTCATGTTTTACTCATTAAATCTACTATAATTAAAAAACTCAATCTTGAGGGTATACCTCATAACTCATTAAAACGAACAATAAAAAGAACAAAAAACTATGTGTACGTAATCATTAGAAATATATTCAAGTATGGATGAGCAATCTTTCAGCATCGTCATATAAACTGTCTTTCTGGTTTGGGCAGAATGACTTTAAAACCGTTCAATCATATTTTATATTGAAGTAATTTTGTAACAGTTGCCTTCGAGTAAATAGAATACTTAATAACATAAATGAACTAAGAGAATAGTCATCACAATATTCAGTACTTAAGTAAAACGTATTTCAAGCTGAATTAAACATTTGGGCTTAGATATCAACAATAAAGCAATACGTAGAGCATTCTAAAACGCATTCCATTACGATAGTTTAGTACTCTAAATAAATAAACTAGTTGCTTCTATAAACAATAACCAATAGATCCGCCACTATTTAAATTGTTGTTTCACCTAGAAAATAAGATGTCTACGAAGGGAAGATCTGTCCGGTGTCCTCCTTTCGTTATCTTTTGGCAAATAGTAAAGCACCCTTAACATGTGTTGGTGCACACAAGCGTTTGTAGGCTAAACTGTAAAAACTAGCAATTCAACTACCCTAAAAACTATTACATGGTACAGTGATGAACCCAGAAATTGTTATTTTGATCACAGCTGCCTCTTCGACTGAG